CCTCACTGGCAACTTTAGGTACACCTATTCAACCTTTTGTTAATGCAGATTTGTTAATTATTCAATCACAGGGAAGAAACTCAGGCATATAGAGTCAAATCGACCTGCTGAAGTTCAAACATTAGATGCATCAGAAAGGGGAAGAAAAGTGATTTTGAGTTTCGTATGGTGAATATTTCAGGAACTGCTGATTTTCTGATGGTTTGCCTGCACAGAGTGAAACAGAGTGAGCACCATTTCTGCAGTTCAAAATGTCTTGTTAATGTCGGAGATCAGAGAAGAGCAGAACTAATAGCAAAACCTGTTGTTACAACCAAGGTATGCAGAAGGTGTACCAAGGTGTACATCATATCAAACCTTGAAGTAGGTAGGGCATACAGGAAACTGAAGCTTGAATTTGCACAGACTCACCAAAACTGGTCTGAGTCTCAATTTCTGCCGCAACATTTCAATAGTAAACAAGATGAAATGGCTCCATCCGGTGCTTTATCAATAGTTTAGGCTGCTGCTGGTGATGTAATGGTGTGGGGGATATTAGCTTTGTATCAGCTCAGCATAACTTTACTGCTACAGCCTGTCTGAATCTTGTTGCTGATCACGTCCATCTCTTTATGAACGCAGTGTATCATCTTCTCATGGCTGATTCCAGCAGGTTAATGCGCCATATCACAAACCGCAGATCATCTCAAACTGTTTTCTTGGACAATAAATTAAGGTTATTGTATTCAAATGGCCTCCACGGTCATCAGATCTCAATCCAATAGAGCACCAATAGAGTTGTATCACAGATGTGCAGCTGATAAATCTGCATCAACTGCATGATGCAATCATGTTAACGTGGTGAATCTGTGCCACAAAGGATTAAAACAGCCCTGAAAGGAAAAGGGTGTCCAACCCAGTGCTAGAGTGGTTTACCTAATGAAATATCAGTTGAGTGTATATTAGCTTTTCACTGGCACTGTCAGATTATAAATGGAGCTAAATTTCCCCAAATTAACAGTTTTCAGACTCATGAAGATGACAAAGCTTGAAACTACATGTTTGGAAGCTGCAATGAAAGACATCAAATTTCTTCTATTTTGAGATTTCATTATTATCTCCCACTTCGATATCTATATTACTGACAATTTGTAGTCCCAACCATCTATCTTGGTGTTGACAGTGTTTTCTGCTGAGACGCTAAAATTACAGCTGACTCTCTTGGTTTTTAACTCATTGCTTTAAATAAAATTTTAAGAAAAGAAGTAGAACGGGAAGACATGCACAAGATATATTATTATTGCTACAGACTACAACAATATAATTAATAAGGAATAGCTAAAACGTGCATAAAATGTTTGCTGGTCATACCATCAGGGGGTCTGTTGGAGGTAGCCACCACCACCACTCCAGTTTTAAACAGCGTCTCAAACAGCTGCTTCAGGATCATGGCGTCGGCAATGTCCGCCACCTGATTGAAGAGAGCCAGAGAAGTCGAGGAGCATCTCATATTATTCCTTTCTTGCCACACCTGTGTGTGTGCACGAGTGTGTTTGAGGTCACAGCATGCCATCATCACTCCATGTTGATCAGTGTCATTCAGGTGTGCTCATTCAGTCCTTTTTGTGTGGTCATTGCCACCCAAACTTACGTGTATACACATGGATGCAAACACACACTCAGGCACTTAAATTTACTGCAAATGGTCAAGAACTGGCCTTCCGTTGAGTGGAGTAGCTGAGGCGAAGAAAAAGACCTGAGCTAATCAACGAAGCCGAAAAACAAGAGGAATGAAAGAATAATAAAAACAAAGCAATGCGAGGCAGGACTGGGGTCATGACGGCAGAAAAAGCTTCTATCAAAGCATGTCCACATAAAGGCATATTAAAGTGTGCATGTGTGTTGTATGTACTAGACACAAGGCTATACGGTGTGACAATACATAAATCCAATTCAACTGTCTGCTGCCTTTTTCATCTACATCATTTCCATGAGTCCACAATGAACAAAGGTCGATGACAACACTGAAGCAAGGACGTTTATGAGTCGCTAGCTGTTAAATGAAGAGCTCTGACCTTTCTATTACTAATCCAGTGCTCTCACTTTTGTTCTTATTCTCTCGTCTGCGTCTCTCTCTCTCGAACCTATGTTGTTCTTTTGAACACCTATAAAGGGAGAAATGTTACCCTGTGATTGGCGGTTGTCAAAGCGACATTTATTTAACGTGATGCTCGACCGATGAAAGTTGGGCACAAAGGATTTCCAACCTCTCTGGTAACTTAAAGTTGTCGGTCTCATGTCAACAGTAATTTATATCCTGTTAAATGACAATGTTTCCTCCCAAGAAGATGTAAAAATGCACAAACAGAAATCCATTGTGAGAAAACCGCCTCACTGTAATGCCAAATTCTTGACCCTTAAAGTACTTTTGTTGTTTAAAAACCCTAAAAGAAAATGTCTTGAATAAAAGAAAGACTTTGCAGTCATGCATCTGTCCCGCCCTCTCCTCTTATTCCCTCTTACCTACTTTCCTGTATATAACAGGCACTTCTGATGGCCATACCCACAGCATATGCTTCCTTTCAGACTCTGGAGAGTCTTCTGCTTTTTGCATATTAGCCCCACTGCCCTTGCCAATACTTGATTAACATTTGTGTTAAAGCCTTGATTTTGCTAAGGAGAGGTGGCTAAGGGCATCAAATTAGCGTGTGTGTGTGTGACTGTGTGTGCGTGTAATGAGAATCAACAGAAAGCCAAGGCTCAGTGTCTCTCTGAAGGGGCCCCCATTTCCTGCGACCACAGGATTTTATTTTCATTTCAAAAGAATCATTTAAAAATGACCTTTTATACAACATGGATTTGTTTATTCATGTGCCCTCCACACGGGCATAGTATGAGGGGCAATATTGATTGCTGAATGACTAGGGGAAGAGGGAAAGAGAATGGGTACCCACAGGATGAGAAAGGTGGAGGGGGACTGATGTAGCACTTGTGGAGCACAAAAAAATAATGGTGCAATCTCTGTCAGCCATTGCCGATATTTAAATGAGCATCCAATTACTCAAGCGGCTGTCAGTTTACAGCGAGGCACACGGGTGCCAAATTAAACCTCTTTTGATGTTACACCTCTTTATGTACACAACCTATGAGCAATTTCACAGAGGCTACACAGTGACTGAGGCACTGAGACAATGATGCTCGAGCGTTTTCTTCTCACTCTTTCACGTTCTTTCTCACTCTCTACCCATCTTTCCATCTTGGACCTCTCAATGGCGAGTATTCATTAGAGGAGCCGGGTAGGGGTCGCAAAAGGAAGGAGGGGAGGAGAGCTGGGGGGGGGGGTTACAAATTACTGATAATGGCATGGCGCTAATGAAGAGAATGGAAAAATGTCATTAGCATTTAAGAGGATAAGATCCATCTGACCCGCCGCCGCCAGTCGCTTTCTAGCTCCACTCACTTAAGGAAGCAGGAGAGTGCGACTGATACCCAGAGCTTCATTTGCATGGCTGAGTGGTGGAGGATGCTGATTGGTATAGCCCCTCGCACCCCCCACACCCCAAACCCCCAACTCTCCCAACCTCGCAACCTCTTATTTATGCATCACAAACAACGCGCACATGTCTACTTGTTTCCCCCGCCATTCACCGGTAGCAACAGTCGACAAGCGAAAACAGCAAAGCTGGCGACAGCAAACAAAACAAATCAATGAGAATGCACAAACAGCGCCGCGGTTTAAAATGTGAAAGACGGCCAGATGAAAGGAGCGGCTCTTGATCCACGCAGATGCACGGAGAGTGATTAGAGGGAGCAACTGCACCTTCTGTGACCTCTGACCTGCTGGCATTAACTGTAATGATATCAATAAAAGGAGCAACATTGTGCTGCTAACAGATGTGTTTGGCTGGCTATTGATGAACGCAGAAACACGTGTTTTTCTTCACTACAGTGAATGACTCACAATCTCACAGAGAGTAGACAGCCTCAGTAGTGGTTCTCACCTCTAATGGTGAGAACTTTGTGCATCACTAATGACTCAAGGGGGTCCTTTAGTTGTGTACAGTGTGGCTGTAATGGTTTGAGAGCAAACTATTGTGAGATTAAACAATGTATCTTTATCTGTCCTAGTAAACTTTAACTAAACACACTAAAGAGAGAAAATACAACTGGAAGTCATTTTGCAATTGTGCTATATTTAAAAGAGGCCACTAGGTGTCCCCAGTCCTGTTTTTTATTTGGATTAGAAGCACGCAGTTGTTCACAGGAGAACTCTGAACTTAAAATACAGAGAATGCAACGTTGAACAAGTTTTTTCTAGTTCCTTATCTTGACAGAAATAGAGGTCAACCTTGAAGCAATTGCTGCCAACTGCAGGAAATAAACAGCAGTTTATCGCTTTGTTTTATTCTTTAAAGATTTTAAGATGTCTGATTTGTGAGTTTCTGCTGACCCCAGCATTCATTTGGGTTGTTGTACAATAAAGCAACACTTTGGTAAAAGCCAACTAGTCAGATTCACTCTAAACAATGTGAAATATTAGGGAATAAAACTTGAAAACTTCATAAACTCCCAGTTATTTCTTTTCTCTTTGTGACCTCTTTTAAAACTAGGAAAAAGCACGCAGATATTATTTATGAAACATCCAGCCTGACTTGACAGACACGTATCCCTGTTTTATATTAATAGCACATGTAAACAATAGCATGGCAAAAATATAGAAAATTTAACTAGCACTATATTTATCAGTGAATATATAAAGCACATGGCTTTCAATTAATGTGTGAAAACCCCTAGCTCGACACCAGGAGGAGGCACAAATCACTGGCGAGGCATCCAGGACAAAAATATATCCACATCAGACATACTGAGCCATCCGCTGTGGTGCTCGTTCGCGAATAAGGGAGCAGCTTTAGTCAGTATATAAGTGCAGTAGTTACAAATATCAAAACACGTAACAGTATTTAAAATTCTCATTGTGTAATGTTCCGCTTTACAACAGTGCCTGTGACATGGTTGCTCACCTGAAACTCGTCAAAACACAAGAGGCAGGTCTCACTGCTGATCTCCATGGCAACCGGTGATATGGGGTCATAGGTGAACATTTTCCCTAACCTTCGTTTTGGCAGGCTTTGTTTCCTCCGATGGATCCCTTTAAAGCAGCACACAAACGTCAGGCACATCTTAAAGCACACCTGCGACGGCAACCCAAAACCCACTGACAGTGCTGAATAAAGCAGTAATTTCACCTGTGTGCATAATGGTAGACAATTAGCAGGACGGCTTCAGGACAAACAGAGGGATAAATATAGGATCTCCGGTGCACGGGGAGTCGGAAAACTTCTACAAAGTCATGCAAGGAAACATTGGGCTGTTAGAGCCGAGGAATGGGAGGATGCTACTAACTTTTGTGGATGTCCAATATGAAGCCGTTGAAGTGGACTCGCTTTTTGCGACTGTTCTTCACATGGGAGTAAAACAGATCCATAAGCATGGTCTTCCCTGTGCCTGAAAAGGTGGGAAAACCAAACCAAAGTTATTATGATAACCACAGAGATGTTAGTTTGTATAATGATAGGAGCTTTTTCTGTATCCAAGCTCACCAACATCTCCATATATATAGAAGCCTTTGGGTGGTGGTGCTGGTGGTGGTGGAATGGGTTTCTCCTTTGGGACAAAATATTAAAATTAAGATGACTGTAGTGTATTTTTTTGCTTTTTTACATGAATCTCAACCAACATAATCGCTGAAATTTATTCACAGTGATTATTTCCACTCTATAGCTAATGACTTAAAAAAACTTCTTCATATTGATTCCAATAAATGTCTGAAACATCATCTAATAAACAAAGTATGCTAAGGCATTAAGCCACCACTACAGTGTGAGGTTTCACAATCTCCAGACTAGCCCACTGCAGGGGAGGAAGACAAAGGGGATCTAATCAACAAGACAAGCCAGGGTTCCCACGAAAGAAAAGCATCATCAGAGGAACAATGGAGGGATTTGTCAGACAAAACGGAGAGGACTGGATGAGGCTCCATACGAGATGGAGTGGACTTGTCTGTGCAGCCTGTTTAGCGCTGCTAATTGTGATACGGTACTGTTGCATTGAGGTGCTGCTGGAAGTCATTGTGCTGCCTGCCTCCTATTATCAAAAGGTCCTTGCTTCAAAAAAAAAAAAAAAAATCTTCTGTGTGGAAGCTGAGAATATCGAGTAAAGCCAAAAAGGACCCAAGCCATGTGAACGAATGTGCCGTCAGCTTAATCATCTTTAATAACAATGTGAAGAATATCTATGGGTGGCCAAATTATGGATCTTTTTATCGCCTTTAAAAAAACCTCTGTTGTTCAGGATCGTCCATCTCTGTAACCGGGCAACACCAAATAGCTTTGGAATTAATCACTCACTAAACAAAAAAAGTACTGGTCTCTTTAAATTTAATTTAGTTAGAGGATGGTACTCGGTGTCCACCGAACTCAGTGTCCATGCACAAGGGGCACTTGACTCTGGTAAAATGTGGACAATGGCAGTTTGAAATCTAAATTAAAAAACAAGCTTGCTATCCAACCTCTCTCTCTCTCTCTCTGTCTATTCCCGCTCCACCCCTCTCTACTTTTTACCCACCCCTCCATCCACTGCCTGTCCTGGGCTGGATGTGAAGTACTGGAAGAGCAACAAGCCTTTCCTGTTTGCTCTGGCATAACAGTGTGTGACTTCTCCCTGACTTCCCAAGCTGCCCTCTAGCATGGCGGGGTAATTGTCAGTGGCTGGAAACCATTCTGCTACGGCAGAGTGGCGAAGGACAAGACCGTCCCTCAGCCACTCTGTCTAACTGAGCTCTGTGGCCTCGTCTCACCTCATGCTGCAGGATATAGACTGGCACATGAGTGGAAAGTTCACATGCAGGACATGGTCATTTTGGCTTTAGGAAGAACTTCCTTTGACCACTGCCAAAAATGACTTGCAGAGGCATGGTCGGCTAAGATCGTCAGAGCCCGAGTCAAGTTTAACTCACACAACTGTCCTGCTGGAGGCCTACCATGTGCAGGAGGACTCCATGATGCAGGTCTGTCTTGAAGAGGGTGGATCCCACTGAACAATGGCCCATTGTCAGCCAACCATCCGCAAAACCACGCCACATTGGGTCAATATTAAGTCAAGTGTACTCTCCTCACAGACTTGATCAGTTAGTGAGGACAATGGCGGCACTTTCACAGAGAGAACAGACACCAAAAGGACAGTGGTATGACCTGATTCAAACTGGAATAATTGCATAAGTACTCCAGTCAGTGTGTGTGTGTGTGTGTGTGTGACAGACAGAGCAAGAAGTAAGGTGCAAAAGGAGAGGGGTGGGTGTGAGGGTGGTTGGTGGTGGTGGTGTTGATAGCCTACCACCAAAGTATTTGTCAGAGTCCCAAATCAAAAGCAAAAAGGACAAGAATGGCTGAGACAATGGGGATCCCCTCATTACTGCCCGGGGACGGTGAGAGAGTGAGAGGGGTGCCGGGACGGGCCCAGCGGGAGGTCTGCCCTGCTGCCTTCCAAAATCTGTGCCTAACTCTGTGTGTCTGTGCCAGCCAACCAACAAAAAAACTCCCACCACCAAATAGTAGACAGTCAGCTCCCCTGACCTAAAAACAACAACAGCCCCCCTGCATTATGCCGTTCCAAAACTCACATGCACAATAAACTTCCCAGACCCCTACCCTCCCTTTGACCTGAGCCCCACGGCCACCATCGATGATACAACAGGAGAACAGGGAAGTCGACTCTGTGAAGTCCGTCCATATGTTAGATATCAGTGGTGCTTTTTAATCCAACGACAATCCGGATCCAGACATATCTATGCTGCCTTATGAATCCTAAACTGTTCCCCAAATAATGTCCAGCGTAATGCATCCTAATCCAAACGATGCAAATCAGATGCTTTCAGTTTTTGTAATTTTTATTTATTATGTAGGAATATTTTGAAGAAATAACACTGGTCTTGACCCTGAAAAAGAGTATAAATACCCTTCAAGACTGTCTCATTAGCTTTTTTCCCCGAGGCTTTCAACAGTATTGCATGGTTTTCATCGGTGAATGGAGTTTGTTCAATTGTCACTTGTCAGTCTGTTGCCATGCAACATACTGAAAAGCTTTTTTATTTTTTTTATTTTTTATAACAGCTACTGAGCAGGTATATTTTAATAGTGTAACAAACTAGCTTCCCTGATGATGAAGACTGTGTGAGATGTGGTTGAAAGCGCTGGAAAAAACTTCAAAGTGAACCTCGAGTTTAGAGTGTTTTAAATGTTTGTCCGCATGGCTCATCCGTCTCCTCGCAGAAAATGAAACTTGTTTAAAATACAGTGAAACACTGAGTCGCTAGTTGCTTTAGGCCACAGTGATTAGACCTCTAGTGAAGTCTGTTGTTCTTACGTTTAACTCTGGTGCTCAAAAATGTCGACATGAGGTTGTTTAAAATTAATCAAGGGTTTGATGATGCACCTTTTGATAAAAACAAATATCATATTTCATGAGTACAATAAAATATATTATTACAGTTAAATGAACAATGCATTTTTTTTACTTTTTACATTCAATTACAATAAATTTGATTTATTTATATAGCACCAATTGACAACAACAGTTGCTTCAGGGCATTTTACACTGTAATGTAAAAACCCTACAATGTTTAAAACAAAGAAAGAAACCCCAACAGTCACATGACCCTTTATAAACAAGAACAGTGATAGTGAGAAGGAAAACTCCCTTTTAACAGGAAGAAATCTCTAGCAAAACCAGGTTTATGGAGGGGCAACCATCAGCAGAGAGAAGGGTTTTAAATTTAATTCAGGCTTTAACAGGCAGCTAGTGAAGAGAAGCCAGTATAGGAGAAATATGCTCTCTCTTTCTCGCTCTTGTTTGTACTCTCACTGGAGCATTTTGGATCAACTGAAGGCTTTTTGGGAAACTTTTAGAACAACCTGATATTAATGAATTATAGTAGTCCAGCCTACAAGTGAGGAATCTGTGTTGCTCTGAGACAGGATGTTTCTAATTTTGAGGACATTGTGCAGAAGAAAGAAAGCAGTGCTAGATATTTTCCAAGGTAATGTCATGTAAAAGTGAAATATCTAAAATGAATTTCTAGTGAGACACTGTTTTTCTAAGATTTTTTAGGTCTGAGTACTGTGACCTTTTTTTGTCTGAATTCAGAGGTAGGGAATTAGAGGTCATCCAGGCCTTTATGCCAGTATGATATGCCCGTAGTTTAACCAGTTGATAAATACAAGGTAACTGAGATAAAATATTTTGTGACTAAAAGACAGAATTGTTTTTACACCGCCACTGTGTGTGTGTGTGTGTGTGGATTTCAAATCAAACAATCGAAATGTGATTGAAGTGCAGATTTTTAGCTTTAAATTCCAAAAACAGTTAATGCAAAGTTAATTACAACTATTTTTTTTATACATAGTACCCTTTTTAGAGGTTCAAGATTAATTAGACAAAATAACGTGATGAAAATCTTTTGCATCAATGCCTGAAGTCTAAAACCCATGAACATCACCAAATGCTGCGTTTCCTCCCTGAGATGATCTGCTAGGGCCTTTACTGCAGCGACCTCGAGTCTGTCTACATTCAGTTTTGTCTGCAGTAACTGAAAAAAGCTGGTTGAGATCAGATGAGTGACTTGGTCATTGAAGAGTATTGCATTTCCTTGCCTGGAGAAACTTGGACTGCTTTTGGGTCATTATCTGTTTGCACTGTGAAGCGCTGACCGATCAAGTTTTGCAGCATTTGCCTGAATCTGAACAGAGAGTATAGCCCATCACACTTCGCGATTAATCCTCCTACTTCTATTAGCATTTATGTCATCACAAGTGACTCAGTTCTACAGAGAACCATTTATGTCAATGCCAAAATACTTTTCTCATTGTCTCATTATTTTCATTTAAGTTCATCTTATTTTACCTAAATATTTGTTTTCAAAACTACGCAAGCTCTCTTTGGTTGAGGTGTACAGAAGCAAAACTACAAAAAAAAAATGTATCTCTCAATCAAATGAAGAAAGAAGAAGATGACATTTACCAGTGTCATACACTTAACCATGTGTTACAACCAAGGTATGCAGAAGAGCGTCTCTAGACACACAACGTGTCCAACCTTGAAGCAGCTAAGACCACATCAAGTGCCATTCCTGTCTGCTCAGAACAGAAAATGGAAGCTATAATTCGCATGTGTTGACCAAGACTGGACAATAGAAGATTAGAAAAATGTTTCCTGGTCTGATGAGTCTTAATTCTTATTGCAACATTTCAATGGTAGGTTCAGAATTTCGTGTAAACAACATGAAAGCATGGATTCATCCTGACTTGTATCAACAGTTCCAGCTGGTGGTAAAGGTGTGCGGGATATTATCTTCAGCCTTTTAGTACCAAATGAGCATTGTTTGAACACCTGAGCATTATTGTTCACCATGTCCATGTCTCTTTTATGACCACAGTGTAACCACTGCTTCTAATAAGATAACGCACCATGTCACATACCTCAAATTCTCTCACACTGGTTTGTTGAACGTGGCAGTGATTTTGCTGTACTCAAAGAAAACCTTTGTGATGTGGTGGAAGAGGAGATTTGCATCATGGATTTAAAGCAACTGTGTGATACAATCATGTTAATATGGAAGAAAATCTCTGAGAAATGTTACCAACACCTTGTTTAATCTAGCCCATAATGCACTTCTGAAGGGGAAGGGGGGTATACCTAATAGAAGAGTGTATTATATTAGTAAGTATACATAGAGTGAAGAAAAAAAGTCCTGATTTTTGCAGTAACTGACTAGCTGTGGTATATATTGGGGATAAAAACGGGCAAGTTGTAGCTTCTCTGAAAAGCCAAACCTGCCTTATTCACTCCAACCATGGTCAGCACAACTTCTCTGTGATGATACATGAACAAACATGTCATTACCTTTTCAGTGAGCTCACTGCCTTTGTTTTCGCCTGCTCTGGTGCCACTGTGATGTTGGCTGCTGTCATCTTTTGAGTTTAGAATGTCTTGATTCAAGTAGATACTGTTACTGTAGCTCTTGAGGGTGTGCTGCAGCTGGGCCAGCTGCTGGAGAACCCGTCTCTGTTGGGCATCCCTCCTCAGGAAGCCACCCTGAACGAGGCTATCAAAGTGCACAAGAGTTTCACTGGAGCCACACGTGTCTGCTGCTGGAGGATCCGACGAGCAGGACGATGCAGATGAACAGCATGCCCTCCAGCTACTGTAACCTTGAAGCATTACACCAGAACACGTCAGTGTTACATGCAAACATAAAATATGCCTCGATATAGTATAATCTAGATGTTATAATATGATTCCAGTAAAGCTGTATTAAAACATGTCGTAGCAATAAATGTGTAGTTGTAGCACACGGAATCTAGATAGAGGAAATACAGTCTGAAACATTTCCCGGACGGGTTAGACTGCACGTTGGCGCAGAGTCGCCTACCTTTTCCAGAGAAACTGCTCGACAAACGACAAATCTGACGTGAAATCAAAGGAGAGTCTTTGAGGAAAAACTTCAGTGAGCGACTGACAGCGGCAGCAGCCGTGTAAGTCGCCATGATGTTTCAAAACGCTAAAACTTTATTGAGATTCATCCACACAAGCGTTTCGCAATAGCACGACGAAGGGGCGTTTAGAATACTTCAAATTTAAATAAATGTCACGAATGTATCTCAAATCTATAGTATCTATACACATAAACCTATAAGATTTTGCGTCAAAGGAACAATATAATTATACATTTTTATAAAATTTATATTTTTGTATTCTGTATTATGTCGATTTTCTTTCTCCGTTTTTGACTATAAACTGTTATTGATTGCCAATTATTATAACTAACCCTGTGAACTAGGGCTTTCAAGGAGAATAATATAATACTGACCATTAAATTTCTATATTTCGGTTGCTTGGGGTGTGACAGTAACAAGTTTCCGTTCTAGCAGTCACTTTATATTATTAGCTGTGTTTGATCTGGGTTGTAGGGTAAAATGAACACGTTTGTGTCTGTAGTGTAGTAATCGATGTGTGTAATGTGCCCGCTGGCAGGTTGTAAATAAATCGAGCAGGGGGGTGACAGAGAAGCGTCAGCTGAACCTCAGCTGATCGGAAGTTCAGCTCTACGGCATTTCAAGCTGGCGAGAGTAAGTGACTGGGTGATACCGAAATTTGCGTGGTTTGCCTTCAGAATAAACTATGAAATTTTTATTTTTAGCTCTAGCAAGGACAACATTCACGTGGAGAAATTAAATAAAAATATATCTCATCTTTAAACTCGGATAAGTCAGGAAATCAGACCGTATTTTAACGTCAGTCTTCATTTTACATACACGGCATTCACCAAAATCCTTTATTTTGAAGGCCATCAAGGTGACGTGCATATTCGTAATCTGACTAACTTCACGCAATCCCCAGGCTGCTAGAAGGAAAGGGAGACATGGCTGAAACCATAGCTGATACAAGAAGGCTTTACACCAAGCCTCAGAACTTAAATGACGCCTATGGACCTCCGAGTAACTTTCTAGAGATTGATGTAAGCAACCCTGAGACGGTCGGGGTGGGCAGAGGCAGATACACCACGTACGAAGTCAGACTGAAGGTGAGCCTACCGTAACAAGTGCAAATGGCGCTAGCTTTTAAGCTACACACCTAAGCACGCAAACATATCTTTTCTGCAGTCACAGAAAGTTGTAATTTTTATGACATCGCGATTTTTGCCCCCACTAAGACATTCAAAGGGTCGATATTTAAAAGTGTGGGCTATTAAGAAGTATCAAATTGTCCGTTGCTAAAGGAATTAGTCGACGCTTGCTAGGAAGCTAGCAGCCTTTATCTGACTGCACGGTTACCTGACGTTACACTGTCTGCTCAACGTTGTTGGTGTACATAAAGCTGTTTGACTGCATGTTAATTAAAAGTGTTTGATAACGTGGTTAACGGAAACGGTGTCTGTGTCTTTTGACGGCGACATCGCTCCGGGAAAGAAGGGGTGTGCGCGCGTGTGTGTGTTTACATTAGCCTCAAGTGTTTTTCCACAGCGCAGCTGAAACATGTCTACAAATAAACTGCAGTTATATAACCTCGGTTTAAGCGAAACACATAACCTTCTCAAAGACTTAACGTCTTTCTGAACATTTGATCTCCAGCCACACCCCATTGTCTGAGTGCAAACCACAGATAACAGCATTGGTCACACTTAATGACAATCCTGAGGTGAGGACTGGCCTGTATGACTAAATGGTGCACTGGGACATAATGCGAACATTTTGGTTGGTATAGTATTTTACTTTGTAGCTTTTCTGACGTGACAAATCACCAGAAGCCTAAAGAAAAGCATACTTTTGAGTCAGCTTCTCTGGAGCTATAAAGACAGGATGCAGGATGCCTCCTGATCCTGTCCAGTTTCAGCCACCCCTTACAACTTCCTTCCTCCAACTTGTAGAGGAGAACAAAAGGTGTTTTTTGTTTTTTTTTTTGTTTTTTTTTTCGTATAAAGAATTCTTTTTGTCACTTTACTATCTATTTGGCTGTCAGTGTACATTTTTTTTAAAAATGTGAAATTCTGGGATGGCAGCTAATGCTGTGTAGAAATGCAACAGTGTTGTTGAGCAATAGGTCAGGATGAGAACTGTTAGAGAGTCAGCAATTGCAAAACACATCCTGTGTATCTTTCTGTCACTGCAACTTTGTGGTCAGAGTAAAAATCAGCCTTGAATAGCTGAGGTCAGCTGATGCATTTCTTTCAGTGTTGATACAGATCACTAGTAACCAAAATCAAACTATTAAAATAACAAATCATAGTCAACATTAACTCCAACACTAACCTTTGTTAGGCTTTTTGTGTCTTAAAACTGTTGCAATGTAACAACAACAAAAGAACAAATGTATCTTTTTAAGATCTGTTCTCAAAGATGAAGTGTATTTTTTTTTTCCCTGCGAACTTGTAATTATAGAAATAAATCACTGTAATTGCGATATTTGGCAAAATAGTTAGTTCAGTTAAGTATTTGGAAAATCTTGCAAAGAAAAGCGTCTGGACTTCTTTAAGTTACTTGAAGACGTTTCAGTTCTGAACTGAAGACAGACGCTTTTCTTTGCAAGCTCCTTTGACTACGATGACCTGGATGACTGAGAACCTTCACAGACATATTTGGAAAATCACACTTTTTTTTTTTGCCTCTGTCCACAACTGCTGTGGATTTTAATTAAACTCTCCAGATGTGATAGAACTGCAGTGATGCACCCGCATCCTCATGACTTGGTGACAGCTTTAATTCAAGAAGCCTTGAACCAATTTTTATACATTTTCCCATTTTTAGATGCTCAAAAATAATTAATAACTGACTGACATTTTCTTTGTCAGATGAGATCTGTTCCCTTGTTGTTTTATTGCAAATTAAGCAGATGAAAAACAAAGATGCCGATGCAAGTAAAGGAGGGCAATAGGTTGAAAACCTAAAATAAACCTAACAGAGAGATGGAAATGATCAGACTGGCCAAATCAGCAACACCAAAAGGTCTGAAAGACTACAGAATACAACTAAAATAGGGGGTTTCCATGGTTAAGGAAAGCAGCTTCACAACATCTAACCAAGCCACGAGGCGGTCTACAGTCAAGAGATACCTTCATAAATGTAAATAACAAAGGGTTTACAACAAGGTGCAAATCACTGGTTGCACTCAAGTACAAGCAGCCCTGATTAGACTGTCAGAAACCATCTAGAAGAGTCTGCATAGTTTTGAAATAATATTTGAAACACGCAAACAAGATGAACTTGTACCAGAATGACTGGTGTGCATACTTACTTGAAGAGAAAATAATGGAGAGGGAGAGAAGTGGCTCATGATCTAAAGCATGCCATATTACCTGTCAAACATGGTGGAGACATTTTTTATGGTACTTTCATGTATGACTGTCAGTGAAATTAGTGTTTATTTATTATGTGACTGTTGAAAAGTAGCAGAATGAATTGTGAAGACTACAGGGCTATACTTTCTGCTGAGATTCACTCAAAAGATCCTGCAAAATGGATTGAACAGTACTTCATAGTGCAAATGAGTAGTGTCCCAAATCACACTGCAAAAGCAGCTCAAGTGTTTCTCAACTCAAAGAAATATTGTGAAGTTCTTTTTTTTCTTCAAGTCGGTCTCCAGATCTAAAGTAAATAGAGCATGCTTTTCACTTGCTGAAGACAGAGCTAAGGTTAGAGAGATCAGTTGGACACCTTTTGGAGCAAATGTGTCAAAGCAAGTCACAGGATGAAACAGCATATTAAAAGCACTCCTTAAAATGGTTAGCTTCTATAATTACCTTAGAGCCTCTAGAAATTTATATGTATAAAATGTCTGTAAATCCCCTGAAAGTCTGCATTTCTATCGTGTCTCGATAATTTGATTTATAGTCCACTGTGGTTGTGTCCTGAGACAAGAGTTGTGTCATTTTCCAAATACTTGTGGACCTAAATGTATCTGGCAATCCACCTTTGAAACATCAAACCTGCTTAAATCTGCAAATGCTTTTCTTTGATCCTGTTTATGGCACAGTACCCACAGTGTTGATAGGATAAATGTCTTACAAAATCAAAATGTAAATATAAACTAAAGGTTGCTTGCTCTATTATTGGAGTTTTAAATCATATCATACATGGAAACGGGAGTTGATGTGGTTGTCATAAAACTATAGATTTTAAGAGTTTTTTAGAACAATGAAAAGTTTGAACATTTTTTATTTCAGTGACAACTTAGCAGTCTGCCTCTGCTGATAATCTCAGTGAAAGCTCCATGGTGAACAACTTGGACAACCTTGGACCGTTTGATTCAGCTGCTGCTGCTTTTGTCAGATATTAAATGTCATGCCTACATCAGGAATTTTGTGAGAATGTTAAAATATAAGTCTTATTTGACATGCAGACACAACAAGCAGGCAGTTAGATTCACGAGAAACGAAAAAAAGACACATTTTAGCTGGGTTAGCCACGAGGTAAACTTTGTATTTTTTTACAGTATTTTCAAGCTTTAAGAACTCCTTTTAAAGGCTTGTCAGTTTCGCCACATAAGCCAGGCAATTTTGTATAAATGTAACTATTATTGGACCTTTTGTGTTCGATTTTAAATACACAGACTGTCAGACAGTCACTATAGGCTCATCTGATTGCTCCATCTCCTCATCTCTAAATTGTCATCTTGGTTGACTGACACCCCTGTAGTTACTGGCCCGGAGTATTTAGATTGGTTACCAGCCCTCAAGTATTTAGTCGTTTTCCTTTACCTTTAAGAAACGAGTTGAGAGGAGAGAAGCTGTCTCCAGGCATTAGCGTTGAATATAAGGCTACTGTACTTGATTAGCGTGTAATAATTAGCATATGCGTGTAATCAGCATTATTGTGCACCTCATAGCCCTGTGTGACCCTGCTTTGCATAAGACCACAGAAGAAGCGGTGCATCCCTCACTTCTCAACAAACGTGGTGTCAACTTAGCTTTGCTTCTCTCCTTCTCCTTTCTTTAGCTTTCTTTGGAAGCGTTTTACTCCATCTCCAGCCATTAAAGAGTGTTTGCCACAAGGCCTAGGTCTGGAATGCGTAGTGTTTGCTTTGCCCCTTCATTGCTTTTTTTCCCCTCTTTCCCCCTCTTCATCTACCTTTCTTTTAATATTTCAGAATACTTGAAATATATCATCTCATTACTCTGTACTGTTTCCGTTCCTAACCTTTTCCCCTGTTCTCACTGCTGTCCCGCTATCCACCCCGAAATCGAGAGAGCTCTTGTGGCCGCAGTGAGAGAGTCTGCCTAATCCCCTCATTGAGAAAAGAGAAGAATTGAACCAGGCCAGGGTGGCTGGGTGGGTGTGTGTGTGGTGAGGGGGAGCTGGAGCATTTACTCCCCATCCTCACCCTCCAACTCACCCCCCCATCCATGGGAGGGCAGAAAGCCACCCCCTCACCAGATTTCATCCTGTTGCTTACTTTCCCATTTTACTCCCAGCTGTGTGCAGTCACTTTCCTGGTTCATACCGTGTTACCATTGTTCCCCATGATAACTGAAATCATGAAGTTTGCTCCGAGACTGTTGAAATAAGAGTCATTCAGTTTGCCTGTGACTCACCGGCGGTGTTGGGATGCTCACAAAGTTAGTGGCGAGACAAATTGTTTAAACATTGTTTACTGTGGCTGTGAGGCATAGTCACTTGTTGGCAGACGGGCCTGCGTTTGGCGTTTGAAATTAATGGGATCAATCTCTCACTCTATGCATCAGTTTTTTAACGAAGTGGAAGCTAAGTTCACACCGAAAGGAGGCGGATATCTCATTTTGCATGAGCAGACTCGTAATGTCGGGGGTCATGCTGAAACAATGGATATCTGTTCCAATCCAAATCCCTTCGTTTTAAGGGTAGTTTTTGAAGTGGCTTATGGTTGCTTTTTTATGCTTCTGCACATGTTTCATGTTCCTAATGGAGAGAGTTGTTTTTCATGAGTCCTATCATATCACCTTAATGGTCTTTTACTTTTTTCTGTGTAGTGTCTGGTTTGGCGGACCCCCCTCCCCTCAATACAGCATAGTGTATTTGTTTGGACCCTCAGCAAACAGGGGGTTGGAGCTGG